AGTTGAGTCAAGTTTTTGCTTAGCTCTTTTGTTAAATTTTTAGCTCGAACTCGGCTCGAACTCGAATTTTGATAATCCAGCTCGAGCTCGAGCTCGGCTTGAATAAAAATCATCTAGCTCGAGCTCGACTCGGTAGAGCTTGATAAATGCTCATTAACATAGCTTGTCAAGCTGAGTACAACTTCGGCTCAAGATGAGCTCGATTTAAAATCATTCTTGATGGAAAAATGTGTAAACATAAGAATTTAAATGATAGAAATAACACTAGAAACTATAAATAACATCTAAATTTCACACACATTTGTATTAACAAGACAATGTTCATGTTTAAAAGAGTAATCCATCCTTTCACAAGCTCTAAACAAGGCAGCTCGCAAGCTTAGCTCAACAAGCCACTGAATCAAGCTAGCTCGCGAGCTTATCAAGCTGAGCATGGTCTAGCTCAAGCTTGGCTTGTTAACTAACGAGTTGGCTCGCGAGCCAGCTTGTTAAATAACGAGTCGAGTGTCAAACGAGTTTTTTCCGATCGCCGAGTTGTTCGCGAGCGGCTTGGCTCATTTGCAGCCCTAGCTGCAACCCGACTTGCAGCCAAATTTCGCCCCCTATCTGCTCCCATGTGTTGTAACTATTGACAATGCAAGTTTTGTTCCAATTAATCAACATCTATTATGGTTTCTCTCTCTACGGTTTTCCGTACGTACTACATAGGAAACTCAAATATTTCTGCAAATCCTAAGGCCCTGTTCACTTTTATTTTCGTTTCATGTTTTCTGTTTTCATGTCATAAATTTGGCAAACGAAACGAGAAAACATGTTTACTTTTCATTCTGTTTTCTATTCGTTTCCAACTCTGAAAACAGAAAGTGGCAACTTCCTGCTATTTTCGAAAACGAATAAATATCGTTTTCACCTGTTTTCAACATCTGTTTTCTCAAAAACAGAAAACAGAAATGAAAGTAAACATGACCTAAGCTTATAAGTACACAACATTATTGTTTTCACTCATTTATAGGATTAGACTTGGTTGATAGGATGACATGGGAGCAGATAAGGTGAGTAACCTTGTGGTGAGTAATCATGAGTAACCTGTCCACATCAGCATGACATCAGCATCCTCTCTCTCCTGGAAAGCCTTTAATTTTCTCCTCTTTAATATTTGAAGAACGATTTCTCACTCATTTTAAGTCAAAATTTAATTTTTTTTGCACAGTTAGATCAGATTAATTGTGCTCTTCAAAATGATATCCACTTTAATATATTTTTCGAACAAAAAAAATTGAGCAATTTTTTACCAGTCTATACCATATGGTATTGACTGTATTGAAATAAAAGCATACATATGGTATGAAAAAAGTACCATGGTGGTATGAACAAACCAAGACTGTAGGATGGTTGAATACATGATAGTAGAAATATATTAATTGTCATTTACGACTTTTAACATTGTATACCACAAGATACCACCCCGTACCAGGGTGGTATTGTATGGTATTGTGTGGTATTTTTTGGTCCTATAATTTTTTCACCCATAAATTTGTAGATCCAATAGATCATGATGAACTCGTCCCTTCTGTGCAAACGTTTTCAAAAACGAATTAAAAACGAAGAAGATACCATACAATACCACCCCGTACCAGGGTGGTATTGTATGGTATTGTGTGGTATTTTTTGGTCCTGTAATTTGTTCACCCAGAAATTTGTAGATCTAATAGATCATGATGAACTCGTCCCTTTTGTGCAAACGTTTTCAAAAATGAATTAAAAATGAAGAAAATACCATATGGTATGCAGTTGGTACCGAGAGGCCATAATTTTTTGTTCTAAAAAAATATTTAAAATTGATCTCATTTTGTAGAGCACGATGAACTCGTTCCACCTTTGCAAAAAAAATTAAAATCCGAGTTAAAACGAAAAAGATATGAGCCGATTAAGAAAGCTAGAGAAAATAAAAATGATCTTTAATTCTCCATCCTTAGATCTGGATTTTCTAAATGAAGAGTTCAGATTTGGTTATTGATGGATGCATAACCCATGGTTATGCACCCTATCTTGAGCCGGATGACATAGCATGCCTATCTCTAAAAGGGTTGGCAAAATGATACCCCTATTAATTATAGGTTTTAAGGTAATTAATTTGTGTTGCATTTAATAATCTGTATGAATTAAATACACATATTAATTACTTTCCTTTTTTCTGTGCACTAGTAGTTGTATAAGTGCAATGGTAGATGTATCATTGCAATGGTAGTTCCAAAAAGGAACGTAATTAATATGAGTTCAGTATACAGGTGCAATGGTAGTTAAGAAAAAGGAATGTAATTAAGATGAGTTTTTAATTTCCAAAAATTATTAAATGCAACACGAATTTAATACAAAAAATAACTATAATTAATAAGGGTGTCATTTTTTCAACCCCTTAGAAGGGTTAGCATGCTAACAGATCCCTTGGTAGTCCATAAGTGTGTAACTATGAATTATCATTCTCCCATTTAAAATGTAATTAAGTGTTTGTAAAACTGCACCATACCAACACTCTAATCGGAAAAATCTCTTATTGAAACCAAAACTCCGAGGAGGTTTTAGCGGTATGTAATAATGAACTCTGATTAAAACACGGTTTCAGTACAAAATATCTTACCACTTAATTCTTTTCCGATACAACCTCTTGTATGGTTTCACAATTCTCAATATATATTATTTGAATATATAAAGCAAAGTAAATTTAAGGGGTTCAGTGGCAACGACGGATCTAGGACATGATAGAGCACTGAGCCGCATTTGAATAGAAAATTAGATATCGTGAACAAAAATATATGATATTATTGTTTTCATTACAATGTCAATTGTACATAATAGTCTTTTAATTTAGCAAATTTATTAATAATGGAGTCTTCATCCATACCAATAAAATACTCTGTCTAAGAAAATAGTTACCGCTACTCCTATGGAGATTCATGTGGAGAGCTCCGCGACTACACTATAGCTACGACTATGGAGATCCTTCATGGAAGAAGAGCTCCGCGAAGGAGTTATAGAGAAAAAGGTAAGTTTGACAGATGTGTTTTTGTGTTGATTTGGTTGTCCCCTCTCTCTCTCCTTGCTCCGGTGATTTTATCTGAAATCACTTGCGTAGTCTTCACGCCCCGTGGAACTGCTTCCTCAACCGCTCCGTTGTGAACTCCCACGTGTCTTCACTCTTCTCCACACTGTCGTAGTCTTCAACCGCTTTGATCTTCTCTTCACTCCCGAATCTCACGTGCAAGAAAATAAGTCCATTATTTTCATTAGCCCGGGACGTCGTTTACACCTCCACCAACAAAGTTTCCATAACGACGTCATTGAACCCATTCACGGCATTGCTCAGCTTGCAACACCGTCAAGCTCACTACGTCGTTGAGCTCCACGATGTTGTTTTGGCAATGTGGCATCGTTGAATTTCTCGGCGTTGTCGTACTCGTAACGTCGCTGAATTTGCGACCGCAACGTCGATTCCGCTGCGTTGTTGTTTAACTAGCGGTATTTTTAGCCATGCGACACCGCATTAATTTAATATTTCACGTACCGCAGCATTGTCGGGTTACTTGCGGTGTGGTTTTCTTCCCCAAACAACTCTGTTTGCTTTTTCACTCCACGACATTGTTTTATATTAAACACTGTCGTTTTCTAATCCGCAGTCTTGTTTTCTCTCGCGACGTCGTTTTTAGCCAAACAACACCATCTAAAATAATTATTAAACATGTTAATTAAACCGGCTCATTATTGTCACGTGGTCAAATTCTCATCCATCGGTGCTGTTTAATATTTCTGCGACATCGCTTTTCACTAATCGATGCCGACCTTGAACTGCTCCGTCCCGGTCCCATCGAACAATGTCGTTTTTCATTCCGCGACATTGTTTTCTACCAAACGATACCATTTTTCTCGTCTTGCGGTGCCGTTGGGCTTGCTGGGCCGCCCTCTCCAAACTCCAACCCGTTGTGGTATAGTTTTTACCTAAACGACATCGCTTACCAAGACCTTTTGCGGTATCGTTTTCTAATCCGCGGTGTCATTGGGTTTACTCGCGGTGCCGTTTTTAGCCAAACGACACCGTTTCCTAGTCTCGCGATGCCGTTGAGCTTTGAGGTTCGCGGCACCATTTTATCCCTCATCCGACAAGGAAAAAATAAAAAAAAACATTTTTTTTTTCCAATAACAACACCAACAGGCCGAGTGAATCCGACATTGTTTTCACTAAACAATGTCGTTTTAAGCACCTCAGTATTGTTGAGCTTCCTCGCGGTGTCGTTTTAACACTCCGCGATGCCGCTTAACACCACACGACACCGTTTTTTTTGTAATGCGGCATCGAATTAAATACCGAGACTAATTAATGCGGCATTTAATTTAGGCCAAAATTATTATAGGTGTAAATAGAAACTTGGTTGGTAAATGGTAATGAGTAGGTGTATAACTATGGATTATCATTCTCCCATTTAAAATGTAATGAAGTGTTTGTGAAACCGTACTGTACCATCAACTCGACCGGAATTTTGGTACCCGGCATCCTATTCAAATTTAAGTGATAGACCTCCCCCAATTCTCATACTTTAGTGGTACCCGAGGTATTTTACCCTTCTACCGTTACTTGGTAACCTGGACCAGTGCAATTGGATCTTTCCAATTATTTAGTGCCATCCATTCGTCAAGAATACCCATATTGACTTGTAGTTGTCCAATCATTTTATTCACCATGAGGCACTATTGAAACCTCCAAATTTATTCAATGAAAAAAAAAACCCACCAATTTTTTTTTCATGCAATACACAAACAATATGGTGAAACTAGGCAACCCTCCAAAACCACTAGCTTTTGTTGCGGGAAATAGGGCCAAAAGTGACCGGACGCTAAATTAACCCAAATTTATCCGATTTTAAATTGACCCAGCATGTAGACCAACTCGACCCTCGAAATTGGGCTGGACCAGTGAGTATCTAGTGACCAGGACCAGGCTTACATCCCTAAACGTGCATCCAAACAGAGCCAGCAGAAGAAGTTGGCGCAACAACAATCGGACTCCTCACAGTATGCTTCCCACTTTCTTCAACCCAAACAATCGAACCATGAGAAACCATCCCTTCACCATCACTCCCATACGTTATCTCCACGAAGTAATCTCTCTGCTCGTTCTTCTTCCCGAAAACCAACCTCTGAGGCCACACCGCAACTTTCACTCCCACCGGTGGAGCCACCTTCACTTCGTACGAAGCCGTCGCGGCTCCCACATTGGTCACGACCCTTCGAAACTTGTGCGTCAACATCGCTCCGGTAGTCACATTCTTATCGTAGAACGCAACGAACGACGGGTAGTTCAGATCGAGCGACGAGGAGTTTGCACAGTCGTACTCGTTCGATCTGGTGATGGTCATGATCTGATTCCTGGTAAAATTCATCGAACATAGCAGAGACACGTATTCCTGTGGAGTCGCATCGTAGACCAGACCAGGGTCCATGGCCTTATTCGGCATCATATGGCCCGCTCCCATAGCCAGAGGAGATGCGGCAGTGTAATTTAGGCCAAAGTCTTTGATAGGCATCATGGAACTGTCCAGCTGAGCAGCAGTCGTCATCATGGCCGATCTGATAGCTGCATGGCTCCATTCCGGATGCACACCTCTCAGCATCGCCGCCACGCCAGAAGCGTGAGGGCAAGCCATCGACGTGCCTGAGATGAGATTGAACCCTTCACTGGTCAACAACATATTTTTTCCTACTAAGGCTGTGGAGCCATTTGGGATCCAGGAAGCCAGCACGAGGCTTCCTGGAGCCATAACGTCCGGCTTTAGAATCGCAGGGCAGTTCGGAGAAGGACCTCGAGATGTGTAGCCAGCTACTGAGGGAGCGACATCTTTCCCCGTCACAGTTTGGCGGAATTTGATTGCACCAATAGGGTTATCGCTACTCTTGATGTAGTCGATGACTGTAGCCAACTCCATCGTGGAAATCAACACGCCTGGACAACTCATTGACTCTAAGTCCACACGAGAAGGATCTTTAGAGACGAAGATCGCACCAGCGAGGTTTGTCACCCCAGAGATTGCCCGCATTTGGTCGTTTAAAAACCCTGTGTCATCGCAGACAATAATAGCACGTGGAGCTTGCGAGAGCAACTCGAGAGAGTCACATTTGGAGAGTGTCTTGTTGTAGATAAGGGTTTCATTCTTAACCCATGCATTGAGCGGGAATATGCTCCTCCCGACTATGATGTGTTGTTCTTTCTCCTTGTCATTCCCCACGGTCAAGCTCGCGACGTAAGTGCGGTCAAAGTTTCCCGCTGCCACGGTCATCACCCAGGGGATTCCATTATGCAATGGAATCCCTCTGGGCCCATTATTGCCCGCGGAGGAGGAGACCAGAATCTCCTTCTCCATTGCACCAAACGAGGCGATCGCGACGGGATCCTCGTACAACGGGACACCATCGAACCCCATGGAGATGGAGATGATGTCGACTCCATCCGCCACGGCCTGGTCCATTCCAGCCAGCACGTCCGAGGCGCAACGTCCCTCGTCCCATATCACCTTGTACATGGCCACCCTGGCTCGAGGCGCCATGCCTCGAGCCACGCCATCAGCGTAGCCGAAGAAGGATGCACCTTCCACGTAGTTCCCGGCCGCGGTGGAGGAGGTGTGGGTCCCGTGTCCTATGGTGTCTCGAGCCGAGTTCATCGTGAGGGTGACATTCGGGTTGGCGGCTCTGACCCCTTTGTTGAAGTATCTAACTCCAATGAGCTTGGAGTTGCATAGGGAAGAGTTGAAGTCCTATCCCTCTTGACATATTCCTTTCCATTTGGATGGGAGCTTGGAGGGGTAAGTCATACCGTGGTCGCTGAAGCTTGGACTTTCGGGCCAGATTCCGGTGTCGATTACACCGATGATCACGTCCTCGCCAAAGTTCGAGGCAGGCCAGAGGCCGGTTGATGGTTGAGAGACATGAACTGGGAAGTATATGTGGTGTCCATCGTGACGAGTTTGTCTTTGTAGGATGAAAGAAACCCCGGGTGGTTTTGAACGGTTTGGAGTTCTTGTTGGGATAGAACAGCGCTGAATCCATGGAGGGCGTTTTGGTAGGAGTACAAGAAGGAGTTTTCGAGGGATGAGAAGTGATGGTGGTTGTCGGAAGTTGTACTGGTCGAGGATTTGACGGCGGAGACGATTGAGGAGTGCCATTGTTGATTGGTGGTGAAGTGTTTTGGACGGGAGGATGGGTCTAGGTGGACGATGTACGTGGAGAAGTCATCGGTGGACGTGGCATGGAAACTGAACTCGAGAAGAAGAAGAAGAAGAAGGGAGCAAAGTTGAAACATTGTTGTTTCCTCTTTGGTGGAAATGCTTGGTGAAGGGATTGGTGCTTACATGAGTATCCACTTCGTCATATATATACTGGTTTCGTTCGGCTGGTTGTGACGTCTTACTAACAACACTTTTACTTTGTACAGTTTTTGTTTCTCTTTGTGAATAATATTCGCCATTAGAAAACAAAAACAACACACAATTGTACTTGGGGTTTTATACGGCAGAATAAAATGTCTCTGTCTCTGTCTCGGCTTGATGGGCGACCAGCCGTCTTCGTTAACCATATATACGACTGTCGAGTTTATGCCTTTGGTTTAAGTGTGTTGTAACGATTGACAATGCAAGTTTGTTCCGATTAATCAAAATCTGGTATGGTTTCTCTCACTAGGTTTACCGTACTACATAGGAAACTCAAATATTTCTGCAAATCCTAAGTTTATAAGTAACAACATTGTTGTTGTCACTCATTCATAGGAGTACTAGACTTGGTTGGTAATCCATAGGTGTGTAACTATGAATTATCATTCTTATAAAATATCTTATCAATGATTTTTCCGATACCACCTGTGGTATGGCTTAGCAATTTTCAATATATTTTTTTATTATTAAAAGTACAAACACTTTTCACTATTCATTAAGAAAAAATAGGCTATTTTTTCTCCACGGATACCATTCACAAAGTGGTTTTATCCCATATACCCAATTTACACAATTCCTATTTTTTCTCCTTTTTCAGCATATACTATTCATATGAGTTTAATCCCCTACAACCAAGACTAAAACTCATGGAATTCTACTATAAGTCTTTTTTCTCTACGTCCAACTTAACATTATACAAAAAATTTACATATCGGTTATTTTTTTCTCCATGGGTGTTGTTCACAATGAGGTTTTATCCTATATATTCTATTTTAACATAATCCTCTTTTTTCGCCTTTTGAGCAATATAATTCATATGTGATTTATCCCCTACAACCAATTATTCGATAAGTCTATAACTCATATGAAATTCTCGAATGTCTTTTCGTCCACATCCAACTTAACATTACACAAAAATTCGTAGGTCGGTTATAAAATATATAATTATTAACTAAAATTATGTTATTTTCAATGTTTATTACTAAATAATATTAGCAATATTTAATTACTCCTTTAATATTTACCAAAATTCCATTATTAATTGTTAACAAAATCATTAACATGTCATCAGTTCTCATTATGCAATATTAGTTAATTTTGACATAACAAGTTTAATCATATGTTACTTTCTAAAATTTGATTTTATCATTAGACCTCACATTGTAAAAGATTTATTCAACAATGTTCTATAACAGTTCTTTATCTCTTACATCCAATTTTACCATGAGCTCTTGATTAGTTAACTTAGAAATAATAGTTTAACCATATGCTAATTTCTAAAATTTTATTTTATTCTTAGATCACACATTAGAAAATATTTGTGTGACAACATTTTTAACAGTTACACAAATTAAAAATTGATCAATGTTACTTGCTATAACTTGATTTTATTAGTGATAATATTCTTCTGGCGGCTGAGCTAGTTAAAGACTACCATAGGAAGAATATTACTCCTAGATGTGCGATAAAAATTGATATCATGAAGGCTTTTGACTCTGTCAGTTGGATTTTCTCTTCTCTGTGCTTGAAATCATGGGACTGCCTGCTCAATTTATTGATTGGTTGAGAGCTTGTGTTCAGTCTCCCAGGGTCAGTGTAGGTCTTAATGGTGGGATTTGTGGTTCCTTTGATATGAAAAAAGGTTTAAGGCAAGGGGACCCATTGTCCCCTTACTTATTTACAATTGCTATGGAAGTGTTGGATGCTCTATTAAAGAGAGCAGCTGCACAAAATCAGGTCCCTTTTCATCCTCGGTGTAAGCCACTGCTATTACACATCTTTGCTTTGAAGATGGTTTGCTTGTCTTTACAAATGGGTCAATCAGGGATGTTGCTGTTATCTGTCGTGTCTTGGATACTTTCTACTCTGTGTCTGGATTAAAATGTAATCCTGATAAATGGCAGCTGTTTTGTGGGGGTATTCCAGAAGAGGAAAAGTTGATGATTTCTAAATACTCAAAGTTCCCAAATAGTAAATTACTTGTTAGATATCTGGGGGTCCCGTTGATTACTGGGAAGCTCACTAAGGCTGAATGCAGGGTTTTGATTGAGAAGATCACAGGTAAAATAAGTAGCTGGAGGTCAAAAACTCTTAGTTTTGCAGGCCGTTTGCAGTTGATTACTTCAGTTCTTACGAGTGTATTGCAGTTCTGGATGTGAATCTTTTTACTGCCGCAATATGTTATAAAAGAGGTAGAATCTATTTGTAGCCGTTTCTTATGAGATATTGATGATAATTCGTTGAGAAAGAGAGCAGTGGCTGCTTGGCAGTTTATTGCTCGGCCAAAGAGAGCAGTGTGGAACAAAGCATGTGTATGCAGGCACCTTTGGGCGATTCTGGCAGCAGAGGGGTCTTTATGGGGTGCCTGGATTGCACGTTATAGAGTGAAGCAGGCCTTTGTGTGGGATTTAAAGGTGACATCAGCGGAGACTTGGGTTTGGAAACGCCTGCTCAAGTGTAGGGAGTTGGTGAGACCTTTTATTTCCACAGTTGGCTCTGAGTTGCAGTGGAATGGTATGGCTATGAACCCTTATTCTGTCACGAGGGTATGGGAGACGTTAAGGCAAACAGATACTGAGGTACGCTGGTTTAAGATGGTTTGGGACAAGCACATTATTCCTCGGCATGGGTTTATTCTATGGTTGGTGATTAATGATCGACTTAAGCTACAGGATAAGTTGATTGCCTGGGGTAAACCTCTTTCTGGACTCTGTTTGTTATGTCCTGGGGGAGTTGAAAATCAGAATCATTTGTTTGTGGATTGTTCTTATATTTAGTTCTTGAGTTGTAAGGTTTTGGGGTTGGCTTCGCCCCCGTGCTTGGCAGCTGGGATGTTGTGTTGGAGTGGTGTATACCGGCGTGGAAAAGGGATTCTCCAGCAAATTTTCTGAACAGAATGAGCTGGAGTGTTCTCATTAGCCTTGTTTGGCGCGAAAGGTGTGCAAGGTTGTATGGTTCTGTTGCGGCAAAGAGTCCTCCTCAGCTGGTACTTGATGCTAGGAGAATCATTCGGAGTCGTTGCCTCTTGAATCAGTGTTTGATTGATTGCTTTGAAGCTAGGGGGCTTGGGGTAGATAGTTAGTTTTGATATTGTTCATTGGGTACCTCTATGAGGGTTGATGTACATGATTGAGGTTTCTTGAGGGCTCCATAGAGGTTTTTGCTATTGGTGTCGGTTCTTAATGCAATTTGATTTAACTATAAAAAAAAACTTGATTTTATTATTAGACCATACATTATGAAAGATTTACGTAATAACGTTCTATAAATGTTACATGGGTTTCCCTTAATGATTAAGACACTATGTAATTTTATGGGTAAATAATCATTTATATGTATCAATTAAAAAAAATGATATGTAAGTTTTCTATAATGATCAAACACTATGTGTGTCTTATTTATAAATAGTAATTTATTATGTATCCATTAAACAAAAGGATGACGTATATTATTCGGGATTAATGACATAAATAATTTTTTTAATTTACCATCAATATGGCGGATTAAAAAGTATTTACGCAAATATTGTGTATTTGTGTAGGGTTATAGGCGGGACCGCATTTTTTAAATTATAAAACAGATCCCACGCGCTGGCGCTTGAGTCTCCAGCGCCCCCGCCTCCACACTCTTTTTTTTTTAAACCTAGCGGCCACTCCTTTCTTATCTTTTTCTTCTTCCTCCCCCCACATCACACCCACCAACCGCCTCTCGCCCGAAAAACCAGGCTGCCACTTTGCCATCGCCCTAGACAGAAGCAACCCCGCCGCAGACACATGCGGCCCCGCCGCTGACAGAGGTGCCGCCGCTGCAGACAGAGGCAACGCCTGGGTTTGACAGAGCAGATGTCCTCGTCCGACGAAGAGGAAGCAGTCGCCGGCAGAAGCAGGGGGAGAGGCCGGCGAGGTCGTGGAGGCGGCGACCATTTTCGTGGTTAGAATCACGCCGGCAACGACCAGAATCTCGCCAGCGGCGGCCATAATCTTGTCGTTGCCGGTTTTTTTTCAAATTAATGTTTTTGTTGCTTTTGCAGTTCCTAGGCTTATGGACCATTATTCGATGAGACTACTGCCTGCGACAATTGATCCAACTCTGGTCGATCCGGTACTTCTTTGGGGACATGGTCAACATCGTATCGACCCAATTTGGGCAAACGAGGTAAGTATTTGATAACTATTCATGTAAAGTTAAATTAGCTAGTTAGATTAGATTATTTTAGTAGGTGAACAGAAATGTACTGAAATTAGAATAGAATTATGTATCAATTTTTTTGAAATTAGTATAATTTTAGATTAGATTAGATAAATTAGAATTATTACGAATGAAATTGAATTAATATTTGAATTGTGCACTATAGGCCGGTGATCGATCTTACGATGTTTGAGCTACGACCAATTTAGTCAAGTATCATGAGCGTTATCAGCCATATCTCGGAGCGGCGGGCTTGTCTAGTGTTTATCACCTGGTCCTTATGAATTCTGATGTGAGTTTGATTAGTGCGCTCATAGAGCATTGACGACCTGAGACGTTGATCTTCCATTTACCGTTTGGTGAGGTCACGATCACATTAGAAGACGTTGTGACACTGTTTGGTCTGGCGATCGACGGTGATGCCATCGTAGTTGACATACCGGATGAGGAGTGGCCGGCGATCTGTTTGGGACTGTTAGGACGGGTTCCAGACGATCTTTCAGGCGGTATTGTTAGAATTGTTTGGCTGAGGGATGAATTCAGTTATATGCCGGGAAATGCATCCCAAGAGGTTACAGAGCAGTTTGCACGAGCTTATGCTCTATCTCTGATGGGAGGTGTATTGTTTCCGGGTCGATCTGGAGCTATGGTGCACCTACAGTACCTACTTCTGATTGAGGATTGGCAGAGAGCTGGACGGTTCGCCTGTGGAGCAGCTGTTTTACCCTACCTGTACCGTGAGATGGGTAGGTCGGTTTTGCACATTATGCATTCCACCACATCTCTAAGAGGTGACCTTGGTGGATGGCTCGCCCTACTGCAGCTCTGGGCGTGGGAGCGATTCCCACATCTGACACCGCGACATTTAGAGACGAGGGTGCAGATTGTCGAGGATGCATTCCTACGTGGACTTCGATGGCTTCCGGCCAACACTCGTCAGTATGGTGATAAGCTATTCCAGTACAAGTTGTGGTTTGACGAGATGGAAACCATGGTGGTTAGTATATAACATTTCATTTTATAGAATAGTTTTCATTTGTTTGTTTTAGATTTAGGGATAATAACGTGACCATTTTTTGTGTAGTGGCAACCTTACGTTGAGAGAGCACATCATCTCAGAGGTAGTGTGATACAGTCTGAGACGTTTCGAGCAGTAGTGCCACTGATCTGCTTTTCAGCGGTGATGTGGCATCATCCAGACCGCGTGCTCTGGCATTTTGGCATGAGGCAGACTGTGCCTCATCCGCCACATCCTAAGGTTGAGGTTAGGTTTTTCCTTCGCCAGGCTACTCGTGGGCCATCGCGTGGGAAACAGTTGGTACACGCCTCCAGAGAGTCGCTTGCTTTTTGGAACCGTCGACATGAGTTCGTAGCGATGACTCCATACAGTGAGGAGGTTTTAGCATACCACTCGGAGGTAATGGAGTGGTATCGAGATGTCACCAGACGTCCAACTGAATTTTGTGACCACGGTTTCATCAGCTCTTGGCACTTGATGGAGTACTGTGAAGGACCACTTCTAATTTGTGCTTCTGTCTCCAACCCCATCTTATCGAATTTCTCCAACAATCGCCAATAGGTATGTTGCACAAGAGAAGCTATAATAAGTGAACGAATACCTTTGAAAACACCATTGATGCTCTATGCCATGTTGGATGTCATGATAGACCATCGACGCCCACCATTTTAGTTATCATGCGCTAAACTCCAACGAATTTGATGTTGGTCCACCCAGTTATCACTGAAATATTCCTATCAGCGGCCACCTTAAATTGCTCAACTTGACGATCGAACTTCTCCAAGCGTTTTTCTCCGGCTAACAAAGTAAATAACCACACGAGTTAGATAAAATCATGACAAAATTACATTAAACTAGATAAGAAAATTAAATGAAGAAGACTTACCGACTCAAAATAGTTGCTTATACATAATTTTGTTTTTATTCTTTCTTTGCAAGTTGCTTGCGTAGTGTCGCATGCACCACCTCCACTCCCAACCTCTTCCGATGTCACCCATGGCTTCATAGAGTCCCGCATGTCTATCCGAGATGATGCATACATCATTTCGATCGGTCAAACCTTGAACGTGATTTATGAACCATGTCAAACTTTCAGTATTCTCGCTCTCCACGATGGCAAATGCTATTGGAAAAATCTTCTTCCGGCCATTAAATGAGCTCGCCATGAGTAGCAATCCTTTATACTTTCCAGTAAGAAATATTCCATCACCAACCATGACTCCTGGACAATTCTTGAATCCATCTATACAAGGTCCATAAGCCCAGAATACTCGCTGAAAGATCGAATGACCTGGTTGAGCTGAAGAAACTCTTACACAATCAATCACTGATGTTGGCATTTTTCTCTTTACCACCCGCAAGAATGTTTGCAAATAATCATAGGATTCTTCCCAATTTTCATGCAACTTCTCCAATGCTCTTTGTTTCCCATACCAAGCCTTTTTGTAAGTAACTTGCATATTAAACTTATCTTTCAACTCGGCCTACACAGTTAGAACACCTAGATTTGGTTGTGCACGTACCAAATGTTTGACGGCCTCAGATATAATATCGACATCAAGATGACGATGATCCGTCGGTTGAGTCGTACTGCTACAAGAATGCACCAACTCGGCCTTTCTCACAGTCCATTCGCTTCCAACATCTCGACATCCAAGCCGCACCATCCAAGGACAATTGTCATCCTTGTGCTTCAAGCATCTGACCTTCCAGATTGAAGGTGACGACTCCACCGACTCAATTGTCATCCTTTGGGATTGAGATTCATTTTGGAGTGCTATTCGGTATTCGGGATTACGGGACTAGGATCGGTATATACCGAAATACCGAGAAATACCAAAAATTAAAAATTAATGAAATATAGCACACAACTTTGGTCATTCCTCACTCTTTCACAACTTAGAAGCCCCCATCCGAATCAATTTTGACTTTCCAGTATAAGTCATTCTCGTTTATCACCTAATCTCTTGTTATATTTATAACACTAAAAGGCAAATTAATACCAGTATTAGTCGTCTCTCAACCTCCAATTCATCAAATTAAAGATCACCAATGACAAGAATTTGAGATGCCACCTCTTCTCTATTCTCCTCATCCATATTCTAGCTCTAGACAAACTCAAGACTCTTTACTTAATCTCTTTGCCCTAAATTAAACAATCAAATCTAATTTATATATTAATTAATTAATTAATTGGAAAGGTAGTTAATTTCGTATTCGGTAATACCGTTTGAGATACCGAAGTACCGATTGGGATATCAAAATATTTAACGATTGAAATTGGGATATTAAAACTAATTCGATATTCAGAATTTTGATATTTGATAATGAGATACCGGTACCGTACCATACCGATTTCCACCTCTATCACCGAAGGTGCCACGGAGTGAGTGAAAGAGCAGGGATTTCATCAATACACACGGGGATATACGTGAATTAGTATTATTATCAGCAATTACGAAAATATCCAAACCATGGACGGAAGAGGCGTCGAAGATTTTCATCGCAAAACGTTTCTTTTAGCAACGAATATGGCCGTGGCCGAATTTTTTTTTATGTCTGAGACGAATGATGTCGTCGCCAAACCTCTTAAATGTTTAGTGAAATGTTCTTGGTCGCAAGAAAATCAAATGTTTCGTTGCGTCAATGGTTTGATCCTCCTACTTGTAAAGCTATCCAGGCTATTCCTCTTCCGCGCCTTAGTGTTGCGGATAAGCTTATTTGGCATTACACAGCTGATGGGGTTTTTTCGGTTAAATCCGCTTATCACTTGGCTGTTAATTTAGATAGAAGGAGGGGTGGATGGAGATCTGAGGTTAGCTGGATGGACAAACCTAGTTGGACCAGGGTGTGGGAAGCCAAGATACCCCCAAAGTTGAAGGTCTTTGTGTGGCAAATTCTGAACCGGGTTCTACCTACAACAGAGGCGTTGATTGCGAAGAAGGTTCCGGTGTTGTCTCGATGTCCGGTCTGCTGGGAAAGCCCGGAGACGATGGAACATTTGTTTCTCTATTGCCCGGTCGCGAGAGCTATCTGGGACTATTCTGGGCTGGATTATTTGGGAGAGGGTTTGCCTCGCCATACGTTCCCCTTATTCCTCAAGCGTTTGTTGGCTTTAGTCCATCAGCCCTCGTTGATTATGGTTGTAGTTGCTGTCCTTTGGCGGATCTGGCGGTCGCGGAATTGGGTTGTCTTTGAAGGCAAACAGTTTGGGATTCCCGCACTAATGAGACAGTTTCATCAGCAAGTCGAGGAATGGGTGGCCTTGCCTGTAGAGCTGGCTCCTACGGTGGTAGGGCCAAGGGGTCAGCCGGTTTACGGGGAGGATTCACGTATGTTTTGTCGGTGGGATGGGGCGACTAGGAGGGGATCACACTCGGCTGGTGGGGTGGTTCTTCTCACGCATGACCGGCTACTTATGGCGAAGGGGGTTCAGTTTCCTGGTATGGATGAGCCTGCTTTGGTGGAGTTGCTGGTGTTGCGTGAGTCTATTACCTGGGTTTTGGAGTGTGGGTTCACGGAGGTCCGGTTTGAGGGTGATGCCAAGGTGCTCATTGATAAAATTAACCAGGCAGATATGAGGGATAATCGGTTGGGGGCGATCCTGGAGGAAATTGGTCAATACTTGCGTGCTCAGCCGGGGTTTAGTGTGCGATTTATAGGTCGGGAGAACAATAGGGTAGCTCATTCGGTAGCTAGAAAAGCCCTTTCTTTGTATCCGACTATGTGTCGTTTGTTTGATTTCAGAGCCTGGCTTGTTTCCAGGATGTAACTATTTTTCTATCAATATATGATATCTTTTGACAAAAAAAAAAGTTAAATTTCTTATCCATTTCTTTTTCTCACGACATCTGCGATGAAATACTAAAGTCGTCGCAAAACACTTTCTCCTCAACTGTTCCGTCGCCAAACTTTCCGACGCAAATAATCAATTTATTTTTGGTAGTGAACAGACATGCATGCATCCAATCAGAAGGCTTGCTTATTACTTGCCAGCAGAAGTTGGTGCAACAACAATAGGACTCCTCACAACATGCGATCCACTTTCCTCACTCCAAACAATCGACCCATACAAAACCCTACCTTGCCCATCACTCGGATACACGATCTCCACATAGTAATCTCGCTGCTCGTTCTTCTTCCCGAACACCAAACTCTGAGGCCACACCGCAACTTTCACTCCCTCCGGTGGAGCCACCTTCACTTTGTACGTAGTTGCCGCTGCTCCTACATTCGTCACAACTCTTCGAAACCTGTGCTTCAACATCGCTCCGGTAGTCACATTTTTATCATAAAACGCCACGAACGACGGGTAGTTCAGATCGAGGGAAGAGTTTGCACAGTCGTAGTTGTTTGATCTCGTGATGGTCATAATCTGATTCCTCGTAAAGTTCATCGAACACAACAGAGACACGTAGTCCTGTGGAGCCGCATCGTAGACTAGGCCGGGGTCCATGGCTAGATTCGGGACTATATGGCCCGCTCCCATAGCGAGAGGAGACGCGACCGTGAAATTTTGGCCCACGTCCTTGATAGGCATCATAGAACTGTCCAGCTCAGTAGCCGTCGTCATCATGGCCGATCTGATAGCTGCATGGCTCCATTCAGGATGCACTCCTCTCAGGAGTGCAGCCACGCCAGAAGCGTGAGGGCACGCCATCGATGTGCCCGAGATCAGATTGAATCCTTCACTGGACAGTAAAGTATTCTTACCGACCGCGGCTGTGTAGTCATCTGGGATCCAGGAAGCCAACACAAGGCTTCCTGGAGCCATGACGTCGGGCTTTAGAACCGCGGGGCAGTTCGGAGAAGGACCACGAGACGTGTAGTCGGTTACCGAAGGAGCCACCTCTTTCCCCGTCACAGTCTGTCGAAATTTGATTGCAGCAATAGGGTTGTCGCTACTGTTTATGTAGTGGATGACTGTAGCCAACTCCGTCGCGGAAATCAGCACGCCTGGACAGCTCATGAACTCAAATTCTACCGGGGAAGGATCATTAGAGACAAATACCGCGCCGGCGAGATTTGTCACGCTGGAGATGGCGCGCATTTGGAAGTCTAGAAACCCCGTGTCCTCGCAGACAATAATAGCACGTGGAGCCTGCGAGAGCAACTCGAGAGAGTCGCATTTAGAGAGCGTCTTGTTGTAGATTAGGGTTTCATTCTTAACCCATGCATCCAGCGGAAACATGCTCCTCCCGACTATGACGCGTTGTTGTTCTTTATCATTACTATTCCCTAGGGTCAAACTCGCGGCGAAAGTGCGGTCAAAGTTGCCCGCTGCGACGGTCAGCATCCAAGGGATTCCATTATGCAGTGGAATCCCTCTGGGCTCGCCGTTGCCGGCAGAGGAGGAGACAAGAATCTCCTTCTCCATCGCACCAAACGAGGCGATCGCGACAGGATCCTCGTACAACGGGACGCCGTCAAACCCCATGGAGATGGAGATGATGTCGACTCCATCCGCCACTGCTTGGTCCATTCCGGCTAGCACGTCCGATGCGTAGCGTCCCTCGTCCCATATCACCTTGTACATGGCCACCCTGGCTCGAGGCGCCATGCCTCGAGCCACGCCATCAGCGTAGCCGAAGAAGGATGCACCTTCCACGTAGTTCCCGGCCGCGGTGGAGGTGGTGTGAGTCCCGTGTCCTATGGTGTCTCGAGCCGAGTTCATGGTCAGGGTTGCATTCGGGTTGGCAGCTTTGACCCCTTTGTTGAAGTATCTAGCCCCGATGAGCTTGGAGTTGCATAGGGAAGAGTTGAAGTCTTGTCCCTCCTGGCATGTTCCTTTCCACTTGGAAGGGAGCTTGGAGGTGTATATCATTCCGTGGTCGCTGAAACTTGGACTTTCCGGCCAGATTCCGGTGTCGATTACACCAATGATCACGTCTTCACCAAATTTTGAGGCCGGCCAGAGGCCGGTTGATGGGTTGAGAGACATGAACTCGGGAGTGTAGGTGGTGTCCATCGTGACGAGTTTGTCTTTGTAGGCTGAAAGAAAGCCAGGTAGGTTTTGGAGGGTTTGGAGTTCTTGCTGGGATAAAACAGCGCTGAACCCATGGAGGGCGTTTTCGTAGGAGTACAAGAAGGAATTTTCGAGGGACGAGAAGTGATGGTGCTTGTCGGAAGCGACGGTGCTTGTCGAGGATTTGGCGACGGAGACGATTGAGGAGTGCCATTGTTGATGGGTGGTGAAGTGTTCTGGACGTGAGGATGGGTCTAGGTGGACGATGTAGGTGGAGAAGTCACCGGTTGACGTGGCATGGAAACTGAACACGAGAAGAAGAAGGGAGCAAAGATGAAACATTGTTTTTTCCTCTTCTTTGATGGAAGTAGTTGGTGAAGGGGATTGGTGCTTTTACACGAGCATGCCTTTCGTCCTATATATACAAGATGTACGTTAATGAACTATTAGAAGAATCCAAATTGCATACACTGGGTTTGATCGATCGGCTGGTTGTGTCGTCTTAGGAACAACACAACTTGTACTTGGTAACTTGGGGGTTTTGTCCGCCAGAATAAAATGTCTCTTTCTCCGTTTCTGCTTAATCGGCAACCAGCCGGCTTTCATTAAGCATATCATGTCTCTGTTTGTGACATTTTTTCCTTCAAGTGTGTTGTAACGATTGACAATGCAAGTTTTGTTCCAATTAATCAACACCTTTTATGGTTTCTCTCACCACGGCTTGTCGTACTACATTGGAAACTCAAATAGTTCTGCAAATCCTAAGCTTACAACATTATTGTTGTCACTGATTTGTAGGGATTAGACTTGGTTGGTAATTATCCATAGGTGTATAACTATGAATTATCATTCTATCATTTAAAATAGAGCTAATACCATTAGGAAACCTAAACCATCAAGAATGTGTCATTTGTGTCCCAATCTATAATAGTTGTGTGTCACTTATATCCTGGCGATTTCGTTGACCGTTATAGATGACGGTTGACCAGACTGAAGTCTACTTTAACATTGACTTTTGTTGACGTGGCAACCATATAGATGCCACATCATTGACACATCAAGTTTTTAATTCAAAACTAAATCAAAATTAATATAGGAAAATTATAAAATAAAAAATAATTAAGTTTTCAATTCCTCCATAATACAACATTTTTCTCCAGATAGTTGTGTGTCACTTATATCCTTACGTATGACGAGTTGGAGGTATTGGAGTTTCCTTCCCGCCGGGGTATTTGGCTCCGGGAAGTTGACGAAAACGATGGTTCCTTCATTCGTGCGAGAATCACAGCGAAAGATTGTGATTGGATTGGTTAGGTGGAGGGAAGGGGATGTTCGACTTGGATCTGTTCGGCGGAGGTAAGGGGATATTCGGCGGAGGGAAGGGGAACAGATTTAGTCATTAGTTTAGAGATCCGTTTTATTTTTTTATTTTTGTAATTATCTTTTTTCTTAGTTTATTCATTTATATGGACAATAATTAATATTATAAATTCCACTTCAGATGTCACATCAGTGCTGATTAGATTTTTAATAAAAAATTAACGGTCAACGCGGTCAACTCTAACGGAAAAATAGTTTAGGACACAAATATCATATTAGATATTTAGGACACAAGTGACACATTCTTGATAGTTTGGGTTTCCTAGTGGTATTTGCCCTTTAAAATATAATGAAGTGTTTGTAAAACCGTATCATATTGACGGTCCGACCGGAAAACATCCTACGAAACCTTAACCGGTAGTAGGTTTTAGCGATATTTGATGGTTGAACTCTGATTAAAATACGATTTCAGCACAAAATATCTTACCGCACTGAATTTTTCAGTACAACCTCCGATACGATTTCGTAATTCTCAATATATCTTATTAGAATATATAAAGCATAAGTAAATTTAAGGGTTCAGTGGCAGCGGTGAATCCACGACATGGTGCACTAGGCCGCATTTTAATAGAAAATTAGTTATCATAAACAAAAATATATGATATTATAGTTTTCATTACATTGTCAATTGTACATGACACTATTTTAATTTAGCTAATTCATCAACAATGGAGTCTTCAATCCATACCAATAATATACTCTCTCTAAAAAATAGTTAAGCAATCAGCAAGAAATTCATTCCTCATTTTGTTGCGCAAAGAAGTTATCACATGTTTCATTGCTGAAAATGTTCTCTTCGTAACTTTCAAACGAGCTAGGTCAACACTAGACGAATCAATCGACAAGTCAATTTGTATTGTGTGTCCCTCCCTTCTTCCAACGGCTTCTCTAGTAATTTGCAAGGAAAAAACTTCCTATTCCTAACTATAAACCACATAAGCAACATAATATCATAGCTCATTGTTGAAAGAATGCATCTACCTAATAGTCTTCAAAGTCTTGAGGATAAACTCTTCAAGAAGTTTGTAAATATTTTATTCATCAAATAAAGATCATAAAGAACTTTTAGGATCTATTACACCACTCAACTGAAACAATCTAAATGAGAATGAGCTTTATAAACACACTTTCATATTTTCCTAATTCCATTGTGGTACTTCTCATACTTGGACACTACTTCTAACAATCCTCCACCTAATCAATAAGAATTGAGAATATATAGTCGAATAAGTAATGCTTACCTAGATGTATCTTTTTGATCTGAACCTTTACTTAGTGCAAGTCATTCATAATTTGGATCAAATCAGTGAGGAGCTCAATCTACATATTTCATATATTCTACAATTTGGTATCTAAAAATTTGATTTCTAACCGGAAAAATCATTGGAAAATATCATTTTGGTACCTAATTTTTTTTATTGTGGTATTTTAGTACCAAAGCTTTTCAAATTATACATATCGGTTCAATTTTTAGATGCCATTTTGATCGATGATCCCATCCGCCAATCAATTTTATCCAATCCATAAATCAATTAATTCATTTGATCCATAAATCCACCAATCCAAAAATTCAATCCATTTACTACCTCTCAAGCAATTATAATAAAAAAAAATATTTGATTTTCATTCTACTATTATGCTTATTTTTTACGGACTCATTTTTCACGATAATGCGCTGAATAACTCTGCCTACCAAATCTCAAATTCCGACTCCGCCTGACATGACTTTCCAAATATATTTTTTTTCAACTAAAATTCTGGCTCTTTCTAAAATATAACATTTTTGTTTGACTATTGCTTTTTTGTTGGTCTAATCGAACGTTAGCTTTAGCATTTTGGACACGGAAAATAATCTAGCCATAAGAAGCTAGAAGACACAATATTGAATATTGATGTATGAATTGCCTTTCCAAGCTCGCATATATAATCAATGAAGCCGGCTGGCTGGTTTGCCAATTAAGCCGAGACAAAGAGGCCCGACCTTTTGTATTTCAATGAATAAAACCCCCACACGTACAAGTCATTTGCTGTTAGTAAGACGTCAAATCCAGCCGAAACCACTTTCTGTAATTTCCTTTGGCACCTTCTATTCGTTCCTTAAAAGAACCAAAGTTTCGAGTAGAACTGAGAGGCCAACATTATTTCATGCTAGTAATTTATCTCAAGTCTATACCTACACCTTGTATAAATGGGACGAAAGAGTTGCTCAATAGGCATCCATCCTTTCACCAAGCATTTCCGCCGCCAAAAGAACCAACCATGCACTCCACTTCTCTTTCACTGTTTCACCTCTCCTCCCTTCTACTTCTCTTATTCACTTTCCATGCAACTTCAGCACCAGTAACCGACGACTTCTCCACCTACATTGTCCACCTAGACCCATCCTCCCGTCCAGAACACTTCACCACCCATCAACAATGGCACTCCTCGATCGTTTCCGACGTAAAATCCTCGACTAGCTCCACTCACCATCACTTCTCGTCCGTCGAAAACTCCTTCTTGTACTCCTACCAAAACGCCCTTCATGGGTTCAGCGCTGTTCTATCACAACAAGAACTCCAAACCCTAGAAAACCTCCCGGGCTTTCTTTCATCCTACAAAGACAAACTCGTCACGATGGACACAACCTATACTCCCGAGTTTATGTCTCTCAACCCAACAACCGGCCTATGGCCGGCCTCAAAATTTGGCGAAGACGTGATCATTGGTGTAATCGACACCGGAATCTGGCCGGAAAGTCCAAGTTTCAGCGACCATGGAATGATGTACACCTCCAAGCTCCCTTCCAAGTGGAAAGGAACATGCCAGGAAGGACAAGACTTCAACTCTTCCCTATGCAACTCAAAGCTTATTGGGGCTAGATACTTCGACAAAGGGGTCAAAGCTGCCAACCCGAATGTAACCCTGACGATGAACTCGGCTCGAGACACCCAGGGACACGGGACCCACACTTCATCCACCGCAGCAGGGAACTACGTCGAAGGTGCATCCTACTTTGGCTACGCTAATGGCGTGGCTCGAGGCATGGCGCCTCGAGCCAGGGTGGCCATGTACAAGGTGATATGGGACGAGGGACGCTACGCCTCGGACGTACTTGCAGGAATGGACCAGGCCGTCGCCGATGGAGTCGACATCATCTCCATCTCCATGGGGTTCGACGAAGTCCCGTTGTACGAGGATCCCGTCGCCATCGCGTCGTTTGGGGCGATGGAGAAGGGGATCTTGGTCTCGTCCTCTGCAGGTAATGTCGGCCTCAGGGGAGGCCCGTTGCACAACGGGATCCCCTGGGTGTTGACCGTCGCGGCTGGCAACTTTGACCGCACTTACGCCGCGAGTTTGACCTTAGGAGACAACAAAGAGAAAGAACAACACGTCATCGTGGGGAGGAGCATGTTCCCGCTGAACGCGTGGGTCAAGGACGAAACCCTAATCTACAACAAGACGCTCTCCAAATGCGACTCTCTAAAGTTACTCTCTGAAGCTCCTCCACGTGGTATCATCGTCTGTGACGACACAGGGTTTTTGGACGACCAGATGGACGTCATCGACAGCGTGACGAACCTCGCTGGCGCGATCTTCGCCTCCACAGATCCTTCCCGTTTCGACTTGGAGTCGATGAGCTGTCCAGGCGTGCTGATTTCCACGACGGAGTTGGATACCGTCATCGACTACATCAAGAGCAGCGATAACCCTACCGCTACGATCAAATTCCAGCAGACGGTGACAGGAAAGGAAGTAGCTTCCTCGGTAGCCGACTACACGTCTCGAGGTCCTTCTCCGAACTGCCCCGCGGTTCTGAAGCCCGACGTCATGGCTCCAGGAAGCCTCGTGTTGGCTTCCTGGATCCCGAATGGCTACACCGCCACAGTTGGTACGAATACGTTGCTGTCCAGTGAAGGGTTTCACCTGATTTCGGGCACGTCGATGGCTTGCCCCCACGCTTCTGGGGTGGCTGCGCTGCTGAGGGGCGCGCATCGGGAATGGAGCCATGCAGCTATTAGATCGGCCATGATGACGACTGCTAATGAGCTGGACAGTTCTATGATGGCTATCAAGGACGTGGGCCGAAATTTCACGGCCGCGTCTCCCTTGGCTATGGGTGCTGGCCATGTCGTGCCGAATAAGGCTATGGACCCTGGTCTGGTCTACGATGCGGCCCCACAGGACTACGTGTCGCTGTTGTGTTCGATGAACTTTACTAGGAATCAGATTATGACGATCACGAGATCGAACGGCTACGATTGTTCGGAATCCTCGTCGCTCGATCTGAACTATCCGTCGTTCGTGGCGTTCTACGATAAGAATGTGACTACTGGAGTGATGTTGACGCACAGGTTTCGAAGAGTCGTGACGAATGTGGGAGGAGCAGGGGCTAGGTACGAAGTGAAGGTGGTTGCGCCGGAGGGAGTGAAAGTGACGGTGTGGCCGAAGAGCTTGGCGTTCGAGAAGAAGAACGAGCAGAGAGATTACAACGTGGAGATTGTGTATCCGAGTGATGGGAAAGGTAGGGTTTTGTATGGGTCGATTGTTTGGGTTGAGGAGAGTGGAAAGCATGCTGTGAGGAGTCCAATTGTTGTTGCCCCAACTTCTGCAGGCAAGTAATTAAGCCTTCTGGTTGCATGTCTGTTGTACCCAAAAGGCATAAAAGAAAATGGAGGCTGCTGCTGTCAGCGTCTCATGGTAAATAATTAAAAATAATTCAGGTTGATTAATGGTGGTGTTCGAAAATGAGATGGTGGCTGGGCAAGTCATATATAATTTGTCTTAGAAAATATGAGTTTAAGTGATATAAGGGACAAATATGTAAAGTTGTCCCCGTAAAATAAGAACACCATTTTAAGTTAATTTTTAACTTTTTTTAGTTGTCCCCTAAAACAAGTTGGGAACTAGCACAGCACCCAATGTTTTATATTTAGCCGGCGTAGTGAAACTATTTTCTGGGCAAAATAGAAAATTGCTTTAGGGAACTGGATTTATTAGACTTTTTTCAAAAACAAAAGAAGTATTTATTAGACTTTTTAGTTCTAGACTATTTGTGAAATTTCATCGTGGAATTTATTAATGCATATTCTTTCAATGTTTTTCTTTATTCGTCACTTTTTTTTGTTACTTTGTGTATCCTTCAGATTGACCATTGAATTCATTACTAATATCATTTCAGTTATTTTCTTTTAATTTTTTTCCCTTTCCACCTAGGAATCCACAAGCTAATACATGGAAACCACTAATTTTCTTTTTCATTGTTTGGCATTACTAATTTTGTAAAGTGTAATCATTAGTAGTTATTTTGTAGGGTATTTCATTTAATTTGTTTAAAAAAAAATATTCCAAAGAAGAGTCTAACCAAGATGTTGCTACCTTGAGAAAATTCTAGCAATATTGGCCAAGGAGTCATTATAAAAATGAAAAAGGAAGAATACGGCCAAGTTAAAAATAAAAAAGAGGTTGCTACCTTCTATTGTTTTTTTTTTTTTTTTTTTTTGATAACCCAGGGAACCTCAGCCCCACATGCCGCTTGAGCGACAGCGGGGCCCACTAAACCACTGGGGGTACCTGCATACTAACCGGGGCTTTCTGCTACCAACATCGGGGAGGCTTCGCCTCCGATACCAAGGGTGCCGCCGGGAACGCACAAGTGGCTCCACTGGGAATCGAACTCAGGACCTCTCACATCCAGAGCTCAATTGGACCAGTGTTTTCACCACTAGGCTATGTTACCTTTGGCGCTACCTTCTATTGTTTGGTCGAAGAGGTTAAGGGGAAATTGTGCTCAAATTGCGAACAAACTAGACTATTTGTTCCTACAAGCTAGATAGGTCTCGATTTATCATCCCTAAAACACTACTTAATGGACATATAGTTGTGGCAAAACATAGGTAACCATTAACTCGAAAGCTAAAGGCTACGATAATTGGTCGTCCGGACCCTACAAGTTGCGTAGAGCACAATTAGTCGTCTCGAAAAATAAACGATAAGGGACAATTGGTCATCCCCTAAGTTAAAGGGGACAATTCCTCATCTCCGTAAACACAAATAATTGGATCATTGGTCATAACAAAAAGTTACATAGATGACAATTCGTCATCTGACACTCCACAAAATAAGGACAACTGGCCATATATAAATATCATATAGATGAAGTATAAATGACCAATTGTTGTCCTCAAATGAAATTCTAGGAACGATTTGTGGACTTCAAGTTAACACTATACAACTTGTTGACTGTATAAGAGGGGTCAATATATTGTCCCCACATTTTTATTGTAAAATGGATTATAGGGACGCATAAAATGTACCTAACAATTGGACTAATAAATCATCCAATGACTTGCCTTGAATTGTGGGGGCACTTCATAACCTTTGGTGGAACAACACTAATGTGAGGGTAGGCTAGACCCTCAACTCCCAAAACTATATATGTAAAATTATTTAAGTATAAATTAAGAAACTATTTTAATTGGACACGCCCTTAATTAAAATAGTAGTAAAATTTAAACAAAACAGAATATAAAATTATTAATATATTTCCTTTGCATTTGGCAAAAGAAAAACTATTAATAATTTAATATATTTCCAAACCTGTGATTTGACGAACAATAGAAGAACACGCAAAAAGGGTTAATACCTATAAAACAAATTAACAACGGAGATCCAGAACTCTCCATTTAATCTCAACCATTCATTTATATACATCTTAATCTCAAACGTCCATTCAACTTTAAGTACCAAGTAAACCCTAGCTTAATAATCCACTCTTCTCCTTCTCTCGGCCTAATATCTTCTTTCCCTTCTTTTGATTCTCTATCTTTTTCGTTTAGCGGCGGCACTTCCCTCTCCCTTGTCTAGCAATACTTCTTTCTCATCTTCGGTAAAGGCCGGTGATCGATGATGGGATTTAGATCAGTTACATTTTTGCTAGTTTTCGGTCATAAATTCATTATTGATTTTAGATTTATCTTTCTTGTACATTGTCTTTTTGTTTTCTTCTCCAATCAACAACGACATTGCAATCGGTGGTATTTTTTTTTCACAACAGGTCGGTGGCAACGTTGCAGACACTGCTGTGGGCTGTGGCCATGTTACGTTTGAGCGGTATCTCCGGTGGCTAGGAATAGTGGCAGTGTTTAGGGGGATACGAGGATTGAGAAGGTGATCGCGTCGCGGCAGAATAACAATGAATGACAACACAATGCAGCCACAACACGGGTGGTGGTTTATTCTATTTCTTGTTGTATTTTAATGTATATGATAGGTACAAGCTATTAATTATTGTATGTTTATTATAATGAATCCAATTATGCACCACTTCAATTTGGTATCGAATTCGCTCAGCCTGAATTTTTGTTCGGTTTATTCAGTAGCTCTTCTTAAATTGGATGTTTGCATAATCTGGTCACAAGAAACTATCTTCAAACCTATTAATTGGACCTAAGTATTCATGTGTTACAACAAAATTACCTAATTATTATTGTATGAAAAAATGTGTTGGAGAAAGAAATTTGTCGTCCCCCAAGCCACCAATAAAGGAACAATCTTTCATCCCTAGCAACATGTATAAGGGACATCATGTTGTCCGTAAAACAACTTGCGGGGACAATCTATTGACTCCAATTTGATATATAAGAGGACGACATATTGACCCTATAAAAACAAAAGGAGACAATATATTATCCCCAAACAACCGTAATACTATCATGAAATGGATTATTGGGGACAATATTTTGTCCCTAAAAATAATGTTTTGGGATGACTTCTTGACGCCAAAGTCATGACTATATGGGGACAACATGTTGTCTTTCATGGAAAAAAATGAGACGAGAACTTGCGAGTAATGGGGACGACGGTCGTCCCTAATAATGGGGACGACTTAACTTTTTGTCGTCCCCAACAGAATAGAGGACAAGAGTATAGGGAGCCACAATTTGGGGACGATTAAGTTGTCCTCACAAATTATAGGGACGATTTTTTCGATTTCCAGGGACGACTTTTGTCGTCCCCAAACCTCATCTTTTTTGTAGTATTTTCAGCTGCGCCCACTCTGAATCCCATTTCTGTTTCTGGTTCGATTTTAAGTGGAATTAATGATTAGATTCATTAAACATAATATGGACATTCATTACAAATAATGACCTTCAGCGACGTATATATGCGACGGTACTTTGTTCGTCGCTAAGTTTAGTTTACTGCGACGGATTATCTACTATGGTCGTCGATTATCGTTTTTACCACACAATGTTAAATACTAGCTTCGACGCTGTTTTACCTTTTGGCGAATGGCGACGAAATATTTCGTAGCATTCTCTTCTTATTATATTGTAAACATGTTATGCATAATTGTACCCCCTGGCATTTCCTGTCAGCTATTATTGTTTAGTTGGACACATCTATGCATGTTTACATGAGATCAATGTTTGATTCTTAGATCATTGATATTATTGCCCGTCGATTATGGCTCGTAGAGACCCACACTTAATTATGTGCTATCGTAACTTCATTGTTCTTCATTTACTAGGTGATTTCATGAAGCGAAAGCGCACATTAGCTAGTCAAATCTCTATTGCAAGAGTCACATGGACCAATAGAGAGTGGACTTAGAGGAAGGAATAAAGCATCATAATAGATGATGCATATAAGCGTCTCATTGTTAACTTAGTAATTAAACATGATCATCTAGAGAATACTACCTAAACAATCATGTTAATTGCTTTCTTGTCTTGCATTTCATTTGTTTCATTCTTGCATTGGTAGTGTAGAACCCGAATGCGATAAGTGGCCCCCAATGCGATATGAGTGAACACCAAGACGATGGCGATGAGGACCCCGAAGTGATTGAAGCAACTGGCCAACATCGGTTACAAGGGCAGTTACACACTTACACCTAATGATTATAAATAGCAGAAACAAAAACTAGGAAAAGGGTTCCACAACCGAACACTTGATCTTTAATTAAATACTAAATGACCAACATACTTCATCTTTAGTTAAGTAATTAGTTCAAATTTTAAGCAAAAATTAAACCAAAAAGAGAAAATCTGCAAAAATATGGTCCTGGCAGAGATTGAACTTGAGTACCTGGAAGATACTAAAAGCTGCTTTCCGCTGGACTAGAGCTAGGAAAATTTTAACAGTTTTGCGAGGAACAGTAATTGTATAATATCTAATTTCTTCAGAATTTTCAAAATTCTCGATATTTTTACACGCCATCTTCAGAATTCTCGGGGGGGGCCGGGGCCCTAGGAACAAGGTAGCTCCGCCCTGACGACCGCCACCTTATCTCTCCCCTAGTTGGTTGATGGAGGAAAGACAATTTATGGAGGAGGCTTTGGCAGGGTACACAAACAAATGGTCTTGAATTGATTTTGTCCGTTCTCCCCTAAATCGATGTTTGGAGATGAGATTTTATAGGTAAATAAAAAATAATTTTGAGGAGTTCGGCCAAATTTTGATGAAATCTGTATTTAGATAAAAGGTTTTGGCTGAAGATGGTATAGATCCACCATCAAGCAATGTTATTGGAGATATAAGTCTTCTAGCCTCTAGTGACCGGAACGCCCAGGCATGGCCAAGAAACTTGTTGCCCTTTGTAGAAAGTCTACCACCCT